GGTCTTTAGCACTTACATAATGACTTTAAAAAAATAAAACATGGGTTTTATTTAGTATTCTAAAATAGTTGAATTTTAAAAAACAAATTACTCAATTGCTTTTCTATTTTTAAGATATTTATTTATTATTTTTATGTGCATGAATGGGTGCCTGTTAGTGCACCCATGTTGTGCAATGCCTGGAGAGGTCAGAAGAGGTCATCGGATTCCCCTGGAACTGGAGTTACTGATGGTTGCTAGCTGCCATGTGGGTGCTGGAAATCGAACCTGGGTCCTTTGCAAGAGCAGCCAGTGCTCTTAATTGCTGAGCTATCTCTCCAGCCCCTGCTTTTCTATTTTTTGATACTATTTCATATTGTGTCATAAAATCTTCATAAAAATCAAGTAAATCAAAGCAGAAAAATTTCTTGTTAAAATTTGATCTTAAGAGAAACAACTTGCCTAAGAACAAATGGTGGTTGGTTACAGAGCTAGGACAGCATCTCCTGCTTTAAGGACGCTATCAATTATTTCAGGCTAATCTTGTTCACAGACTGAGTGAAAATGCCCCTCATTTATGATTACATCGCCTTACTCTTTCCCTTCTTTATCTGGAAGCTTAGAATCAAAAGTTTCTAAAGCTTACACATTTGAAGCATAGGAGATAAGGTTTTGATATGAGTTCTGATACAACATGAAATACTTTTAGTAATTTAGTATTTACATTGTGGAATGGTTTTATCTGAAAACAATTTTTAATATCTTTTTATTAATTAAATTTGTTCTTTGATATTTTCATAGATGTATAAAATGCATTGATTAATCTTACTTCCCACCCTGCCCCTGTGATCCCTCTCTTACAAATCCTTTCCCACATCATTTTGTTTTGTTTTGTAATCCACTGAATTTGACCAAGGCGGTCTGTGTGACCATGGGTTTGGAATTATCTGTCGGAGCCTGGGGGCTCACCAGTGACTATGCAATGGAATGGCTTCCCCTCTCTCGGAATTCTTCAGTGGCCAATAGTTCAGCAGGAGGGTTAGAGCCCCCATGAGTGGGTCTCCCCTCTAAAACTGACTGTTGACAAGCCCAGTCTTGTGTATACCCAGAGCAAGTACCACAGTTGCTGTGAGTTCATGACTGCACTGACTGTGATCTGCCCAGAAGATGGGCATTTCCTAGTCTTTCTCCCTATCATCCAGCTCTTACATTCTTTCCATTTCCTCTTCTAGGATGTTCCTGGTATCTTAGAAGGGGTAATATAAATGCCTTGTTTAGGGCTGGCTACTTGTCTGTTTATGCAAATGATGGCATTGGAATTTGATGGGGATTGTATTAGATCTGTAGATTGCTTTTGGTAAGGTGGCCATTTTCTTCATGTTAATTCTTCCAGTCATGAACATGGGAGGTCTTCTCATCTTCTAATGTTTCAAAGCTTTCATTGTGGAGGTCTTCCATATCAGATTTATTCCAAGGTATATTTTTTCTTGAGGTAATTGTGAATAGGATTGTTTCTCTGATTTTTTTCTTGACATGTTTCTTATTCGTCTATAAGAAGGTTACTGATTCTTATATGTTGATTTTGTGTCCTGCCACTTTAAGAGTTTTTATCAAATCAAAGAATTTTCTGGTGGAGTCTTCGTAGTCTTTTCTGTATAGAATTTTATTATGTACAAACAAAGAAACTAGTTTCTTCCTTTCCTACTTATATTGTTTTTATTTCCATCTCCTGTTGCTCTAGCTAAGACTTCAAGCACTATATTGAATAAAAGTGGAGAAGGCAAGCCTATTTCTAAAGGAAAATTCTGGCACTGCTGGTGAGAGTCTGTAGATGGGTTCTTCTTTCTGGTATGAATTTCAGCCTGTACCTTCCCACCTGGTCTGGAAGATAAAGCTCTTAATTCAGCAGTATGGGATATTCAAATATCTTTGGCCTTGAGCTAACTGTGGACCAGCTCCCTTCAAATTCATGTCTGGATAGAGATCTATGAAAGACTATGGACCTGACCAGTGCTGGTCAGTGACAGTCTTTTAAGTAAACCAAGGTGACAAGCAGGCTGAAAAGGCAATGAAGCACATTTGTTATACTTCTAAATGTATTCAGTTTGAAGGAATGTAGGATTGTTCTGCTGAATTTTAGTGTAAGAGATCTTATTCTTAGAGGTGATAGATGACTGCTTTATTTTTCATGTTCTTTTAACAAACAAACACTTGACAGCTTTGTATGTTTTTCACCCTTCTTAGGGGGAAGTTTGCCTCATTAGGAAGCTCTCGGGTTTGGGTACTACTGATGAAAGAATCAGAGATGCGTCTATTCTAAACTGTCTCAACCATAGTGCTAATGGCACAAGTAGCCAGATATCTTTTGTTGTGGGTGACTATTTGCACATTGTAGGATATTTAGCAATGTTGTTGGCAGGTACTTGCTACATACTGGTAGCATCCTACCCTGTAACCCAGAGTCCACAATTAAGTGTCTGTTTTGTTTTGTTTTAGAGTCAGAGCCTTGTGTGTAACTTAGGCTGTCTTCATACTCTTAATTCTCCTGACTCAGTCCTGCAGCAACTTAGATTACAGGCATGGACCTCCATATTCAGCTTCAGATGCTACAGAAAGGGCCTCTAAACATCAACAAATATTTGTGTTATCTTCAGAGGCTTGGGGGTGCAGTTTGAACCCCACCCCAAAGTCTACTGAAAATTGCTAGTCTGGAACAGTAACTTTGAAATTATGGTCTCAGCCCATTAATGCATTGTGAACTCAGAGGATTAAAAGCACCATTAAAAATGAAATACAGAAGAAAGGATGATATGTTTCAATAAATGTGTTGGGAAAATTGGATATCCACATTCAGAAATTAAGACTAGACCCCAGTCTCACCAATTACAAAAACAGACTAAAAAGCTTCATGGGATAGCATGTGTCTATAGTTCCAGCATGCAAGAAGCGGAGGCAAGAAGATTAGGAGTTTGAGACCATCCTGGGCTACAAGAGACCTTGTCTCTAAATCCAAAGCAAAAGCAGCAACAAAAAATTAAAGATTTAAGTGTAACACCTGAAATTATGAACTACTAGAAGAAAATCTAGGAGAAATATTTCAAGACATTGAAATGGGCTAGGAGAGTTTTGGATAAGACCCTACAACTATAGAAAAGAAAAGCAAAACCAGACAAATTGGATTACATCAAACTAAAAGCTTCTGGACAGCAGTGGATACAGTAGGTTGAGGAGACAGCTTGCACAGTGGGAGAAAATATTAGCCAACTATTCATCTGACAGAAGGCCAATAGCCAGAAAATACTAGGAACTAAAAAAAATCTCAGTAACAAAAACCAAATAGCACAATTTATAAATAGCCACAGACACAAACAGACATTTCTCAAAAGAAGTCATACAAATAACTAACATACGCTGGGTGCTCAACATCACAGGTGGATTCATAATGGGAGGCCATAGTGAATGGGGATGTTTCTGCAGATACAGATGAGGAATAGGGTCTAGATATCAGACCTCAAGGCCCACTTGCAGTGACTCTCTTCCAATAATGATCCACCTCCTAAAAAGTTCTGCAACTTTCTGAAATACCTGGGAACCAAGTGTTCAGGCACATGAGCCTATGGGGGCATTTCGCATTCAAACCACAATTCTAGGTAATTTATAAAGGAAAGATACTTATTGGGCTTGTGGCTCTGGAGGTCGGAAGTTCAAGATCAGGTGACTACACCTGGCAAGGGCCCTAAGCTTCACCATAACATGGCAAAAAAGCAGAAGAGGAGCAGGAAGTACAGAAGAGGCCAAGTCTAAGGGTAACTTCCCCTTAGAACAGTCTGCGCTCTAGATAACTAATCCAGTCCCTCAAGAATGAGAACTCACCCAACTATTGTCAGAACTAACCCAGTAGGGAAAGGCTGTAATGCATCTAAATGACCTAATTACCTCTTACAGGCCCCATCTCCCAACACTGCCACTGAGGAAGTTTCAGAGGGGCATACTACGTTCAAATCTCACCAAGTAGAGCCTTAAAAGTTTTAGCTGAATGGACAGACTAGGTGGTTGGATGAATTTGAGTGTCCCATACACAATCCTAGCCTTGTATCCTTCAGTGGAGCCCTTTCTGAGGGATGCTTGGTGCCCACGTCCTTTATTTCATATAAGAAAGCTTTAGGAAAGCAGCTACCAGCTTTTGTTGTCAGCCACACTTCCTTTTCATTTCGTACCTCCAAATCTCTCTCTCTCTCTCTCTCTCTCTCTCTCTCTCTCTCTCTCTCTCTCACACACACACACACACACACACACACACACACACACACA